ATACACCCTTCATTTTAACTAGCGTTTATAATGATATTACAGTCTTGGAAAAATCTGAGTTTTTTAAAGACCTGACTTATTTTTCAGAAATGAAATTGATACAAAAAAAGTTTAAAACCCTACAGAAGCACCTTCCAGTTCAGAGTATGATGTGGGAAAAATAAAGAAAATATCTACAAGCTAATATAAACTTTAGCTGTGGAAATTGGTTATTCAACTGAGAAAAATCCTCAATTCAAATTCACTACCAGAATTTGCATCAATTGGCAAATAAATCTACTGTTCCAGTACATTCGGAAGTCAGTACAGGTCATAAGACCTAAAAAATCTTAGTCATTGGGTGACAAAAAGGTTCCCCCAGATTTTCCACAGTTCCCAATAGTAACATAGGCTGCCAAGAAGTCACAGAACCACAGAATCAACCAGGTTGGAAAAAACCTTGAAGATCATCTAGTCCAACAATTAACCTCACACTGACAGTTCCCAACTACACCAGATCCCTAAGCGCTATGTCAACCTGACTCTTAAACACCTCCAGGGATGGGGACTCCACCATCTCCCTGGGAAGCCCATTCCAACGCCTAACAACCCCTTCTGGAAAGAAATACTTCCCAATATCCAGTCTAAACCTTCCCTGGGGCAACTTGAGGCCATTCCCTCTTGTCCTAACACTTTTTACTTGGTTAAATAGACTCATCCCCAGCTCTCTGCACCCTCCTTTCAGGTAGCTGTAGAGGGCGATGAGGTCTCCCCTCAGCCTCCTCTTCTCCAGACTAAACACCCCCAGTTCCCTCAGCCGCTCCCCGTACGACCTGTGCTCCAGACCCTGCACCAGCTCCGTTGCCCTTCTCTGGACACGCTCGAGTCATTCAATGTCCTTTTTGTAGTGAGGGGCCCAAAACTGAACACAGGAATCGAGGGGCGGCCTCACCAGTGCCGAGTCCAGGGCTCAGATCCCTTCCCTGTCCCTGCTGGCCACGCTATTGCTGACACAAGCCAGGATGCCATTGGCCTTCTTGGCCCCCTGGGCACACTGCTGGCTCCTGTTCAGCCGGCTGTCAATCAACTCCCCCAGGTCCCTCTCTGACTGGCAGCTCTCCAGCCACTCCTCCCCAAGCCTGTAGCGCTGCTGGGGGTTGTTGTGGCCCAAGGGCAGCCCCCGGCATTTGGCCTTATGGAAACTCCTCCAGTTGGCTTCAGCCCATGGCTCCAGCCTGTCCAGGTCTCTCTGCAGAGCCTCCCTACCCTCGAGCAGATCAACACTCCCACCCAACTGGGTGTCATCTGCAAACTGACTGAGGGTGCATTCGAACCCCCCATCTAGATCATCAATAAACAGGAGTGGCCCCAAAACAGAGCCCTGGGGGACACCACTCGTGACCGGCCGCCAACTGGATTTAACTCCATTCACCACAACACTCTGGGCCTGGTCATCCAGACAGTTTTTTACCCAGCAAAGTGTGTGCCCATCCAAGACTCAAGCAGCCAGTTTCGCCAGGAGAATGCTGTGGGAAACGCTGTCAAAGGCCTTACTAAAGTCAAGGTAAACAACATCCACAGCCTTTCCCTCATCCAATAAGCAGGTCGCTCTGTCGTAGAAGGAGATCAGGTTTGTCAGGCAGGACCTGCCTTTCATAACCCCATGCTGACTGGGCCTGAGCATCTGGTTGTCCCACATGTGTTGTGTGATGGCACTCAGGATGAGCTGCTCCATCAGCTTCCCAGGCACCAAAGTCAAGCTGACAGGCCTGTGATTTCCCGGATCATCCTTCCAACCCTTCTTATAGATGTGCGTCACATTGGCCAATTTCCAATCTGTTGGGACGTCCCCAGTCAGCCATGACTGCTGGTAAAAGATGGAAAGCGGCTTGGCGAGCACCCCAGCCAGCTCCTTCAGCACCCTCGGGTGTATCCCATCTGGTCCCATAGACTTGTGTGTGTCTGTGTGATGCAGCAGGTCACTGTCTCCTTCTGGAATGCAGGGGAGTTGTTCTCCCAGTCTCTGTCTCCTGGCTGAGGAGGCTGGATTCCCTCAGTACAACTAGTCTTGTTATTAAAGATGAGGCAAAGAAGGCATTAAGCACCTCAGCCTTTTCCTCATCACTTGTTACCATGTTTCCTCCTGTGTCTACCAGGGGATGGAGACTCTACCTGGTCTTTCTTATAGAAATATTTCTTGTTGTCCTTGATTGCTGAGGCCAAATTAATTTCTAGCTGGACTTTAGATCTCCTGATTTCTGCCCTGCATAGCTTCACAGCATCTTTGTAATCACTGTGTGTGGCTAGCCCATTCTTCCAAAAGCTGTAAATTCTCCTTTTCTCCCTGAGTTGCAGCCAAAGCTCCCTGTTCAACCAGAGTCAGAGGAACCCACAACTGGCAACAGCAACTACAGACATCTGACTGCACATAAGTACAGTAAAAAAGCCTGGTCAAAACAGTTAAGTAGTCAAGAGTGTGATGAGAAAGTGGTTCCTATAAAGAACACTAGATGATTTATTACAAACTCACATGAGGAGCACTAGTTTCAAATGCCAAGGAACCTTGGAAATGGACCTCAGTGACATAAGAAATGAACAAAGGAACACAGGTCACATAGCAACACATCCAGAGAGCCTAAATATTCTCAGATACTCCTACTATATAGAGAGCTCGAATAGACGACCACATAGATCATGGAATTGCTTCACCAAGGGTTGCAGGTCCCTTGTGCCCACATCCTAGTATACTGCTCAGTAGCTCTTACAGCACCTGCATAGGAAACTGGTCAGTATTTCCAACAGAATTATTTTGAAAACATAAATTATGTTTACAACTAAAATAATTACATTTCTTTAAATTCGCTCTTGTTAGACCTGGACAATACATGAAAAGAAATTTTATTTTTTAAAACATCTACATTTGAAGTAGAACATTTTCTCAAAACTGATGCTGTCATTAGAAGTCTTTTTAAACTATATTCTTCAATTTTCACTCCCACCTGAAGACATTTAACATTTACTTTACAAATAAAATAAAAAATCCCTAAAATGTCCCTCAAAAAACATACTGATTTTTCTTAAAACCTTAATGAAGTACACAAGTCTTTGCAGTAGTGACAGCAATGTATCAGGTGACAGTTCCAAGGCTTCAGAGAGCACAGGCTCGTTTTCTCTCTCAACACATTCTTCTGATGCACACATTTTCCACTGCTGTAGCTAATGCTGGTTTGTCTCCTTCAAAAAAATTATTTTATACTGCTACAAAATCACTATCATAGAAAGACTACAGTGTTTGCTTTTTTAGTCCTTTTATTCACCCATCAGACTATTGTCCCTAACCTTCCATATTCCAGTAAAGAAAAATTCATCAGTCCTTTGGGCTAAAGACACTGGCAAATTCTTAAACATAGTGATCTTAGTGTTCAGCTGAGCTGGTAACAAATATAACTATGTTCATATGCAAATCAAGTTTGCAAAAATATTTATGTCACAGAGAGCTTTGAAATTTTTTTTACATTAAGAAATTTAACCTTACTACAGTATACAGAAGTTTGCACACTATTTTCTATGGTATCACTGTAGAATAAAGTTTTCAATAAGTATTTCATATTAACTCAACAATTTTACTACAAATACTTGATGAAACAACTTTACTTGTGACTATTCCTCCTGTTCTGCTGCCAAGAGATCGAAACTGCAACATACTCATTTCCAATGAGATATTTTTAAAAGATATGCCACAGCATAATGATAATGCATACACAACACATTGTGTTGAAAGACCGTATGTTGCAATTGTGAAAGATATTCTGAAGCAGATAACAGTCACTACTGCCTGATGCTACCTGGCATCCTCAATAAACTACCTGAAGTAATGATGTTCATTCTTTATAATCAACAGACAGGTTTTGAATATTTTTTCCTTCTCAATTTTTGACACCTGTAAGTCTATAACTTCCTCTATGAAATCAGCATTACACACCTGAACCAGGTATGAAAAGACACACAGAACGTCTTATGCATGTACCATGTTTAATCCATCTGCATATTTATTCAGTAGAACACTGCCTGTAACCCATCATTTAAAGACAACAGGAAACAAATGCCACAACATTCTTATAAGAAATTCATGCAACACCCTCATCTAGTAACATCAATTACTTTATCTATCTCCTACACCATTAGCTGTAAGACTAATAAGGCTACTCAGCAGGCAAGGGATTTAATGAAATAGACCCTGAGTTCCTGGGAAGATCACCTGTAGTTCCAACTCTAACACTTCTGATCAAATACAAGCTCCCTTCCTGCTGATGAGCAATAGGCTTTTCTGTATCTTGATCAAACATGCTCTAAAGGAGGGAGAGTATAATAATATGGTATAAAGTATTCAAGTATGTAGGAGAACAATTTATTTAAAAAATAATAGAAATTTACAGTTTTTACATTTAGGCCACTTGAGCAGCAAAACAAGTTCATAGCAAATCTTTCAATAAGCAAATGTACTAATGATCATTAATAAACCACATTAAGTCAGCATTTAAAAAGAAAAAAAAAAATACAGTCTTGCACTGTTACAGGTTCCCAGTTTCCACAAATATTTTTAATTCTGTTCCCCATCTAAGGCTCAGGCATCAAGATACAAATATTACAGAACACCTCCCAGTGGTTATCTAATGAAAGTAAGGATTAAAATAAACAGCATCAAAAAAAATCCAACCCACTTATCAGTGAAAGGTCTCAAGTTCTCTTCCCATTGCCTAACAAATGTAAGTACTGTATACTTCCTGTTCCTTTCAGTGAGAGGCTGAAGAGGGGACAATTTGGCTTCCCTTCCTCTGCAAGGAAGAGATGAAAAATTCCTTACTTATTAATCCTTCTAAATCAATCCTAATGATTCTTCTAAATTAAAACAAACATTCCCTACCTTGAAATCTAGCACATTCCTGTCTTAAATTTCCCTTAAAAAAGCTGATTTAATCTCCCATCTCTGAGCGAACTTCATGTTCTAGGGGAAATCTTACCTAATTTTGGCAGAGAATAGGGCACTTTAAAATAATCTTCATAAAATTCAATGAGTCTCCTTGTAATATTTAGAGCATAGTCCCCCGATCCTCTTCGGATTGCATCAGGCCTTGCATATAACCGTACCTGTTAAAAAACAAAGCAAACCAGTGATCATTTCAGCATCTACATATTAAAGCTATCCTACTTCCAGAGATGAACTAAGGCTGTTGTGAGGTAGCAGGATTACTTTCTTAAAGCTAAATGTGACTGTTTAATGTTTGTTAAAACATGTCATAGCTGAAAGCCAGAACTTCCACAATTAAGGTTACAAAGTTGAGAAGTCACAATCTCCTACTTGGTTTTGTTGCCAAATAAAAGACTTAACACTCCTTGTATCAAAATAAATATTCAGAGGAAACACTTACATGTGTTTGGTAGAGATATGATGGGAGAGTGGATTAGTATAATGGTTCTCTGCCTACACTGAAAGTAGGCAGGATGCAGTGGCTCAGTAGGAGAGAAGTTCACGGTTTGTTAAAGGCACATTATATCGAGCCCTGAAAGTATTAGTAGACTGTGTAGGAAAAAAAAAAAAAAATGTTCTCTTTTATTTTCTCTGGCATTGACACAGTTACCCACGATGAGCTATGGAAGACTGCAAAACCAACCATTTATAAGCCCATTCATGTACACAAACAATTAACATTCCTGAAATCTCCATGACTGCTTCAGGCCTCTCTATTCAGAAAGCAGTAAATTAAAGCTGTTTATACAAGCCACAGACTGCTGTGCTCAGTATAAAACACCTCACACGTCTGACTACACAGAGCACCCAAGTGAACAGAACTCACCTTCATAATTCAGCACTCAAGTGTGACCCTAACTAAGGAGTTAGCAGAAAGCAACACCAGGTTATTCACTATTCCCTGTCCTTACAGTCTTTAAAGCTTCCTTAGTGCAAAGATGACATTCAGCTCAGAACTGTTAACCAAGAAAGGGATAGAAAGGAGAGATGCTTTTTGTTCTCCCTCCTCATACTCTGTCTGATGGAAGCAGTACTTTGTCTCTAGTGGCTGTGGCAGAAAGTCTCTCCCTACAGTACATAATGACCTGATACAAATGAGACTCTACTAAATGTCAGTCCTAAATAATAATATGTGACTCGCTAATACTTTCTGTGTTAGGATTAAATCCCAGCCAAGGTTGTGAGGAAAGCAGCAGAGTAGAGATCAGAAAATATCAATGAAAGCATGAAGGAGAAATAGCAGTTTTGAAATATTTCTAAATGCTCTATTCTGGACCAAGAAAAGCCAATGGGATTTTCGGCTTTTCAGTGGAAGCATTACCAAGTATTGATTTACTGCTCTCTTCCTGAATCAGTTCAGTTATCCAAGTTGAAACCAGGTATCAAATCTCAATACACTATACCTGCCAATTCCGTTTTAACCCACTACCTCCTTGTTTTCAGTTGCAGACACATTATTCTACTTTTTTACTATGACCATCTTTAAATTTTTATCTTTGTGTTGTATTAGACTCTGTACACAATCAACCATACATAGTTATAATTTGTAATGTAAAACCGGTAACAGTGTAACCTAATGAGACAAGTAATAAAGGCAGTCTTCTCATAATCGCCACCTGAAAGCATATAAACCATTACCTGAACACCTCCAAGTCACTATTTTTATTGCTTCCTTCCAAAGTTAACAGTGACATGTTCCTTTATTTGCTAAACTAAATATAATTTTTAACAAAATAGATATTAACCACAGAGATCCTAATTCAAATACCTCAAAACCTTTCATTTATGGAAGGATGAGAAGAATCACAATCAGATTTGTGATGAACACAGTTTTGTATCATTAAACCTTTATACACAAATTTGCATAATTGCTTTACTGGCACAGTTGACTGTATCAGCAAATTGGGAAAAAAAGACTCAGCCAACCAAGTATGCAAAAAATCATTCAATTTGACAGTGTCCAAATGTGTCCGTAATAAGGACAACAGAAGGGAAGGGAAAAAAAAAAAGTACATACGAGAAAAATCGAGGTTCAACTTACTGCACTACAACGTGTGTCTTTTGGCAAATGCAGAAAAGGCATTTAATGGTTTCTGAGATGGAGCCCAGGTATCAAAGCTCAAAAAACACAGTACTGCAAACTTTCACTTGCCATCTGCCTAACACTGAATATAGTTTTATTTTGCCTATAAAGTTTCCCTGGTTGCCTCTCAGTCTGCCCAGAACAGCTTCAGACTGCCAGGGCTCCATGGTTCACACCAAGGTCACCCCTAACCTGGAAAACAGTTCAGAAATTACCTATGCCTTTGCCCAGGTCCCTCAGGGGCTCTGAGGCAACAGGCATTGCCAAAGAATGCCAGACATCTTCAAATGCTGGATCTGCTGCTGCCCTTCACCCAACAATCACTGAACGTGAAATATATGGAGGAATCTTAGAGGCACCATCACAGGCCTACTCCTGGCCTCAGAAAATTCCCTTCTGGTTCACAGGGGACAGTTTGTGCTCTGCCCACCTGGCTGGCTGTTCTGGATGATGCCTTCTCAGGTGTCATTCACGATATAAGGAGCTTGAAGCTGAAGCCTCTAACTTTCACACACCGATGTCCGTTAACGTGTATGGGCTTTTCATGACCATGTTTAACCTCCAAATCCATAAAATGGGATTATATTATTTCCTTAGCTTATAAGAAGATTCCGAGTATTAAATAATAAAGACTGTAAAGTTTTCAGATACTGTTCCAAAAAGCTTAAGTAAATGAAACAGAATGAAGATTAAGACATGAGATTTGATTAGCATATTGTTTTGTTTGTTTACTGCTTTAATTTCAAAAAGTAGATAAATTGTGTTCCTTTATAACTATGTTGGACTGAACAATAATGCATAATTATTATATACTTTCCCACAGACTGTTCGATCACTATACTAAGAATTCAATTTTACATTCATTCAAGTAAGAAAAAGAACAGAAAGTCTGCACAGTCAGACCTAAATATAAATAAAAGCAGTACATGTTCTCCCACAAAAGATAAATAGATTTCTAGCCTATGTGCATAATTCATCGCTCACTGCAATGGCACCTACTGCCCTGCAAATATTAGTGAAGCTCTTTTTCACAATCTTTGTAAGATTAAGTTATACTATTATTTTCATGTAAGAAAGTGGAGAACAAAGAGCGACTGAGACTAATTCTGGGTGCTTATCTTGACACCTCTCAATGTCAAGTATACTTAACAGTTTTATTGCACACACTTGAAGCACTGTTCCCATTATATCTTATTGCAGTAGTGAACACTATACAGCTTTAGTCTGGTCACAGGTGCCTTAGTTTGGGTATTAAGAAAATTAGTAACACACAATTAGTGACTAAATGAGACTGTGTCAGTTTATGTGATTTGCTCAGCATCTCATAGCAACTCTGGTGGCAGAGGCAGGGAGGGAATTCAAAGTTGGCATTCAGCCTCAATCACGACCTAACAGCCTGCACCAAGCACCTTCCACATTTGGGAATTAATAAGGTAGGGACAGTTCAGACAACAGACATATTCACAGCACACTGGTATGCTGATGCAGTGTAGTTCCTCGTGTGTCTAAATGACAAAAATACCAGAAAAACATTATAAAGTTATCAGTTATCATAGCTGACACAGATTTTTTAACTCCTTTGCACCTACACTTACAGCCATTAGCAACCTTTCAACAGAAGTTCTGACTAAGAAAAAAGTCTAAACGTCTCATTTCTGTCTCAGAGGGAACCAGACTGACCATCTCCTTCCTACCATGACTGAGTAACCAGGTTTGCACCTGCAGCCCTATAACCCAGACTTCCCCTTTGACATTTATAAAATGCTGTTCTTAGACCACACAGCCACTGAAGGAGGAGACTAGACACACTTTGCCAGAAATAATTTTCAATTGTTAACAGCAGAGCAAGATATTAGAGATCCTATACTAAATGGCTGTCATGTAAATTTTTGTATTCTTCTCTAAAGTGAGCAAAAATACAAGTTGTTTCCCCCTGTTTGTTTTCCGGAAGCATTGGGCTATTTTAATTACAACTTTAAACAAAGACAATGCAATAGCCACACTCAGATACAACAACAGAAAAATCATCCTGAATGATTAATTTTAAAATATTATTAACCTAACTCAAGTTCTTAAAATTACTTTGGCGGCATTATCAGATAAAATACTAAAATATTCCTGAAACCTGTATGGTAAATTCTGTATCTTTTTTAGTAGACTATTGAACACTTTGAAGTGTTCGTCTACTTCTCTATAGTTAGTCAAAAGTATTTGCTGTACAAAAAGAATACTTCCACAAATAATTTGTACATATTGCAACATTTTCTGTAGTTTCAGCATTTGTTACATAAAATAAGTCAAAGTAATATTTGTAATACCAGGTCACCAGAACACATGAATGTGATTGTAAAGTGAGAGTTGTTTCCCGTAGCGAGAGACAGTTGCGATATATGCTAAGAAATGTGCAACAAATCACATCTACCTAAAATCAGATTAACTGCTGTACATGAGAAAATCTTCCTGTCTCCAGCAAGTAAAAATTATTCATCAAAAAGAAAATTAGCACTTAAAAAGAAAAAAAAAAAAAGAAAAAAAAAAAAAAAAAAAGTCTTGTTTTATTACTTCAGTGTTACAAAAAAATGTGAATTAATAACTATATAAGAAGTATAATGGGTAAATTCTGACAAGTACAAACTGTAAATAGCAACGAACATCTTAATTTCTGGTGAATAGTATGTTCACTAAAAAATATTTCCACTGTACCAAAGACTAGTGATAATTTAAGCACGTAATAAACAGAGGAATGGGTTCAGAAAAAACAGAACTGTTCTATTTTGACATTTTAAAATCACAACTTTTTTTTTTCCCCCTTAAAATTCAAGTACTTGAAAACAATAAAAGGATGAAGGTGACGAATAACTGTAAGGAAAAACCTGCAGTCATTTTTCCACGTTCTGTGAAATATTTCCGGTCAAACTGAAAGCTTTTTTTCAGTTCTGCTTTTCAGGTAGGAAGAACATGGATTACAATCAGCATTTTGACCACAGATATAAAAAGTAAAAATCCACTATTTACACCTGTCTAATTGCAAAAAGA